GGCCATTAGGTAAAGTAGGTTTTGACTTATGCCGTCGCGCTAGACGGCCGATATATCTCTATAAACTGGTGCATAAAATATAAGAGCGTGCTTCACTGTCTATGCCAGGATGCGAGCGCGCGCGCGCGCCCACCGTTACCCGTAACCGTGCATCAACTCCGTGGAACCATGTGGAACCACGTACGTGTGTGTTACCTCCCACCGAGAGAAAGAGAGAGACAGAGAGAGAAGTCTCGCTCTTTCGATGGCACACCTTCGCCACTAACCGACTACTCTCGAGAACCTCTCGACCCTTCCTCTCTCTTTCTCTCTCAACAGTCATCCCGAGAGGACCTTATGACGCGGCTTACGCGTGGATTTCTTCTTCCAACCTGTCTGTCATTATATTTACGGGCCAGCTGTCCTCGAGTCCTTCTCTTCTACGATAAATATATATATATACGATTTCAACGATACATCGATCGCAGTCGGTCGTTTGCAATTATTCTCACCTTCGCATTGCCGTCGTTCCTCCTTTATCCGAGCGACGAAACGTTATTAACAAATTCTCCCGTTGGAGAGTAACGGCACAAAGAACGGAGAAGACGGAGAGAGAGAGAAAGGAAAAGGACGCCGCGACTTCGTCACCGATTCCATCACGGCTGTATTACATCGCACGGACGAATTTAATTGCGACGGATATTAAATATTACCGGTGCACAAAGGACGACGAGAGATCGTGGCCGAGTTTCGTTTCGAAAATCTTACGTTATATAAATGACAGGGGACGATTACTCTCGGACGGATCGCCGATTTTACCCGCCGCGATAAGCAACCGATCGACGACCTTCGATACCCAAATTTCAACACTCTGCTAGTAATTTTAATTACGTTCCGTGTAATTGCATCTGGTGACGACGGCAGCGGGGACGGAAGCGAAAACACGGCGAAGCGCGATCTCGAAGCAGCTAGCACGAAGTTAGCGAGGCATCGTTACAATATCCGTACGGATGCCTCGCGTCCCGCTTCCGCGGGAAATCAAACGCGATGCCGGTTGCCTCTCACCCGTTTCACCAATTAACCGTTAATCTAGCGTGAGCACCGCAACGACGACAACGAGCAACTGGGAAACGGTCGTCGACTCGCGACGGTTTGCCGCGGATCTTCGCCGTTTCTCCGAGTTCTTGTGCTCCGGAATTGTTGCTAATTAATTCCAAACGTCAAACTACCTCTCTCTCTCTCTCTCTATCTTTCTCTCGTCGATACTCCTCGGTTCCTCGGATTCTTAGAGGGAGGAGTGGTTTTAATCGATGCAACGCGATACCTGCCCATACCCAGTTTCTACGCTCGATCGACGCGTATATGCATATATACATATATATATATATATGTATACGTATACATATGTGATATCGCGGATAGAAGGATGGAGGTTGTCCCAATGGAGCGGATTCCGCGCGTAAACACGTTCCGTGCAACGTCCAACCTATACGGCATGTAGCCTCGTTCCAGCTCATTAGCGATTACGCATACACGCGTAAAGGATTTACAAGCGGCCGCTCTCAACGTTCCGTCTCGATTTCGGGCGAACAGGGCATCCTGCTCCGTCTTTCTTCGAGGAACGCGTCTTCCGTTGCGTAACCGCGTTATCGTTTATCCGTACCACGATCGTGGAGACTGTTTAACGCGGTAACACGGTAGTATGGTTCAATTAGCGTTCAAATATTTACTCTCGAATGCGGTCGGCGGCGGTATCGTGACGGTTACGTTGCGAATCGGCTCGAGCACCGGCGAGGTATAAAGCAGGCTGCAATCATTTGAGCTGATTACAGAAATTTGACTCGGATACGACCGATCAAATTCGCAGACGTCTCGTATTATGCGATCGATGGTAACCTCGCTTAATGGTTCAACGTACCGTGACCGTGTTACCCATCCAAAACTCCTCCTCCTCGTTCCTGCTCGTTGTTTCGTCGCAACGGACGAACGGGAACGCGGCAATAAATTAATTCCTTCACCTATGTCACCCGGATAACGTTTCGACATCGAGTCCCCGTCATCCTAGCCTAAACTATTCACTCGATATCGTTTCCAAGATAACGCGTTATTCTGAAGCGTGAAAGCTGGATCGAACCACCTAAGTATACGTTATGCAACACATAACGGCCAATATATACATGTGTGTGTATATATATATATATATATATACTTTTTCGTTTGAACGCAGTTCTCGTATAAAGAAGTACTTTTCGGCAGCTTTCATTGGTTCTCGGTACTCCGTACGACCGTTGGAATTCTTTCCTCCCGCTCTTCTTATAT